AGCCAAATGTCTGCGGCATTCAACTTGTCTGCCCGCCCGTCCGTTCGTCCGTGTGTCAACTTGCCAAATGAAAATTACATTTCAAATGCTGTCGGTCTGTCAGCATTGCTCCATTTGTTGTTGCTGCTGCTGCCTGCTGTTCATTGCCCTACGTGACCCGACAAAATTAATGCTAATGGGGGCGGCTTGGTATAGGCGGGGCGGGGCTGCATAAATTATCAGCCCTGAACTTTGACTGGGCGCCGCCAAAAAACAAGTGCTTGAGCCTATTTGGCAGTTCTGATGATTACGCGGCGTATGAGTACTATTTATTTAACGCTGAGATACACACACACACACCCACACAGACACACTGAAGCACACTCTTATTCGATATATGTTCATGTATGAATGTGCATGGGCGTGTTTGCGTATTTTTAAGTAGTTATGCAAATGTTAAGCACACAGCCGCCTTTTTGACCTGAAAAAGTCAATACGAAAAATTCTGCACATGGCCAAGGCACAACATTCGAACGCACACACACACGCGCATACACACACACTTACATTCATGATTCTGTAGCTGAAAATACTTACACTCATATAACCACTACAACGAATCGCTGAGCACTCACTCGAGTTATTTGCTTCCTATCTGAACATTGGCCAACAAGCTGAGCTGAGCTGAGCCGCAGGCGACAAAACTTTCGCATTTGTTATCTATTCAATTCAGATATGAAAATATTTGCCAGAAACATTCTATAATATATAATATACATTTTAAGTTTTTGCCATTTTTTTTTGACTAAGATTTTTTTGATAAAGAATATATTTAGATATTTACAAAAAAATTAAAGACTAGATGTAAGCTTAAAAATATGTTTAAGCTAGTTCTAGACATGATTACTTACAAATGACAATGACAATGACAATGACAATGACAATGACAATGACAATGACAATGACAATGACAATGACAATGACAATGACAATGACAATGACAATGACAATGACAATGACAATGACAATGACAATGACAATGACAATGACAATGACAATGACAATGACAATGACAATGACAATGACAATGACAATGACAATGACAATGACAATGACAATGACAATGACAATGACAATGACAATGACAATGACAATGACAATGACAATGACAATGACAATGACAATGACAATGACAATGACAATGACAATGACAATGACAATGACAATGACAATGACAATGACAATGACAATGACAATGACAATGACAATGACAATGACAATGACAACAATTGACGATATTTTTGTCAACATTAACTTCGCCACATTTGTCGCCTGTCGTCTGGTCGTCCTGACTACTGTTCAATCTTCCCCAATGCCTGCCCTCTCGCCGATTCGCACGCTAAGAAAATCGAATTGCGAGAGTGTAAACTTAATTAAGAGCATTGCGAGCCGAGTTGATTTTGTTTGATTTACGCGCCAGCAGCCCTCAACGCTGTAATTACGTAGCCCTCAGCGAATATACACAAATGTATATATATATATATATATATATATGTATATATACATACATATATAATCTGGCTATATTTATGTATATATATAGGTATGTATAAGTATCTTAGGGTCAATAGCGTCAAGTGTTGACCAGCTGTCGCTGATTACCCACCGAAAAAAAAGTGAAGGAATATAAAAGGGAAATAGAATTTGGAAGAAAGGACGTCGCTGCTGGCATTTCATGGCTCATTAGGCATGCACATACGTTTGCGAGCCGCGTCAAGAGCACAAAAGCCCAATACGCTCGGCTCGCTAATACAGCCCATAGCAGAAGAGATGGGTATCCTCTCCCGCCACCCCCTATCGCTGCCTCTTTGGCTCCCTGCTGGCAGCAAATTCAATTTTCTACGACGCCGATTTGGTTTCCGCACGTCTTAAGCTATCGTCGCGTCGACCTCCCAGCGCTGCCATGAATATAGTTATAGTCAGGACTATATATAGGAGAGGGTGTGTGTATGTGTGTGTGTGTGTGTGCCACTCGATACCGATTTGCGCTGCAAAATAAATGATAAGAATCTGTGTGCGCGCTGCTCATGAATTACAAATCGCATAAAGGATTTGCCACTGGCTCAAGAGGAGGACTCCACTGCAGCAGCGACAACAGCAGGATGCATCTTGTTTCTGCGGGAGTGCAGGCAGCAGAAGCTGCTTGGATATGGCGTGGAAGCGGTAGAAGCTGGGTATTACAATAAAACAGTGTTGCCAATTCATGTTGACTTTATATCTAAACGAGTTTTAGCTTTTTTTAAAGATACTTCAATACCTTAAAGTTAAACTTTCTATATATATATCTGTATCTGATATATCTTAACTTTTATTTATTCAATTTCCAGCCATTAAAGTGTCGAAGGCAGTCATCTTTCGGACAAAACCTATGGCTTCTTTATGTCAGTTATGAGATTGTAATAAATATTATAGTTTTCTTTATATATGAAAAATTCGTCAGTTTGAACTACAAAAGGTTGGCAGATCCTTCATATACACGTATATATATAAAAATTTAATAAAAAACATTTTTTCCCACATTTCCCTCAAATACTTTCGCTTTAGCTGAGTTATTATTCTAGCCTTTTTTGTGCAATGCTCTTTAGCTGTCTTTTGCAGCACTTGGCAACTCTGGCGCCGCCGAGATTCTTAGCTGTAAACATTGATGAATGTAAAAACTCAGCAAAGCGTGAGCTTGTAATTCGCAATTGGTTCAAGCGCACTTACCGTCGACTGCTAAGGAAATTCCAATTAAATAAACATTAAAGTTATGTCATTTTTTATAAAATGTAGAATTTGTCAGCTGCTTTATTTATGACTAAATTAATGCTTGTCCTTAGCGCTAGATCGTTTAATCGATGAATTATTTTCATTTGTTATTTATAAGAATCAGATTGTTGAGTTCTGCAGCATTATTTTGTTTCAATTAAACTATATATTAGAGCTAATTATTTTATTATTTACATTTATCGTTTTTTACATTGCAGTTGAGAAAAGTTTTCGTTTTCGTAGAAAAAATTATTATCACCATTTTTTTCTCTTTATTTTAATGTTTTGTTGAAATTGAAATACTCATTTTTTATTTTTAATTTTGTGTACAATTTTTTCAATATATTTTCAATATTTTCTTTTGTTTTTGTAGTATGCTTTTAGGAAAATAGCCATTCTAACATTTCTAAGTAGACTAGGTTTTGGAAATTTTACAATAGATTATTGTTCTTGGTATTGTTTGTAATTTTGTTTAGGTATATTAATTAATTTTTTATAATACGAAAAAAATTTGAATAAAATTTTCGAGTTAAAGGCAGGGCGTTCTATATAGGACAAAGACGAACAATATTTTAGTGAAAAAAAATTAAAATTGGAAATTTTATATTGGAACAGCCATTTCTTTAGGTTTCTCTTTTGATACTATATAAAAAGCATTTGCGGCAGTCGTTGTGGTTAGTATTTATATATATATATATATATATATTTAAATATATATATAGTACATATAGTATATAGAACAGTTATACACTAAACTTATATAGCAAGTAAAAGTTTATTTTCTATTATGAGCACAATTCAGACAGTACAACTCGTATGTATATGTATGTGTGAGTGTGTGTGAGTGTGTGTGTGTGTGAGTGTGTTTGTGTGTCTCAAATCCTGGAATTTTGCAAACTTTGTTTTGCGCTCATAAAATATGCTAAGGCCACATTTAATTTTATCTTTTTTTATTTTTATATAACTCTAAATTTATTTCTTGAGCTGCGTGTTCTTTCCATGGAAGAGGGGAAAATCATAATATGATTGAGTTGGAAAATGCGTAAAGCGAAAATTTAATGAAGCGACAAACCATTTGTATTATGTACACATTAATTATGACAAATGAGTGGCAACGAGAGAGAGCGATCGGGTAGGAAAGTGGACGAAAAGGACAATGAAAATTTGTCGAACTGCGTAAATAAACTTAATGAGCCATTATTTAACACAGACCGCAAAGGTAAACAGCGGAAAAAGGCAGGTGTGTACGCACGATAAAGCATAAAGGCCAACAAAGCAGAGACAGAGCTAAAATGAGAGTGAGAGAAGAAGTGGTTAAAGACTTAAGATCAGCTATATACACTCGGTATGATATAATACAAATGAGGTAGAAGTAAAAGTCTTGAATGATAAATGTATAAATGCAGTTAAATAGATAACAAAGGCAATTTGTTTTTCTGTTAACTGGAATAAAAACTTAGAGAAATGTTAACAATATGTGAAATTTGCTATGAAAATGTTAATAACAACACTGGGAACTTTTGTGAATGTTAAAGTATAAATGTTAATAACAGCCAATTACTTATGTTAAACATTCAAGTTCTGAAATGTTAAAAGCAAAATGTTAGAAACTATATAAAAAGTGAAAAAAGAATAAAAACTTGAATTGAGCTAATTGATATAAAATTGAAGAGCAAATATAAATCTTACTTAAGACATTTATAACTAAAATGTTTGGAAATATGTATAAAAATTTTGATTAAAAAACCAAGTTGAGCATAAGTCAGAGCAAGAAGAGAGAAATTACAAACATTTTTAGAATGAAAGTTTGAGCTCGCAGTAGTTCGAGCAGCCAGCGAAAAATATGGAATCAAAGTTTTTAACAATATTTTTTAATAAAATGAAACTTTTCCTGGGCAGTCGAATAGTTTAACAAGCTTTACATTTTTCACTTCTTCGAAACTTATTTTTGCTGAAAAGTGTGCGTTGGCAGCAATAGGAGACTTGTTTAAAATATATTTTCAAAATACTTTGATTGATTCTGAAATATATGAAAGACAAGTTCAATGTTAAGTTGAATAAATGAAATTGAATAAATGAAGAAAAAGTAACAATTATTAAACATGAGCTTAAAGAAGGTATGGGAATTCGATGTCAGCTAGATATATATCAATAATATACCTATTTTTAAAGAGTATCGAAATTTCAGGCATAAATGAAAAAAATATGAATTGAGGCCAAGAATTTGTTTTGGGAAATGTCTAAGAAAAGATTAGCTTAAATAAATTATAATATAAAATATATAAACATAATAATCGAGCGCAGAGATTGAATAAAAAATTTCAATGGAAATTTGCCAATAAGAGAATGAAATGATGCTTATTATTTTGTTTTCTTTTTTTGTGTCTCTTGTAGCTCAGCCAAAGTTTTGTCCTGCGTATCATTATAAATGTTTCTTGTCTAACCTAAGCGCGGCGTTAAGCGTAAGTGTAGCTTGGCAATATTTCTAATCATATAGTTACATATATACAGTCCATACATGAGTAGAAAACAACAGAGGAGTGCTAAGTGTCAAATGGGATGAGTTTCTTGGGAAGTTGGGGAATTTGTGTTTAATGGATATCCGTCTCCGAGTTGCTGGCGCATTATCACGCCACGGTGGCGGCCATTGTGGATGGATGATGAGATGACAGCGGCTCCTGTTGATGCCCATGTGTATGTGGATGATGGGAAATGTGATGGACCGGAAAGCTCCACAGTGCAAAAGGCATCTGCTGCTGCACCAACAAAAGCAGTTGGCGTAATTTGTTGGTCGTTGTCACTCTGCTCGTTGTTGCTGTTGCTGTTGCTGTAGCTGTTGCTTTAGCTCTTGTTGTTGTTATTGTCTTTGCTGTTGTTTCTGTTGCCGCCGCATCGCATGCCGCTGCCGTTGTCGCAGCCTGCTTGGCGCAGCGCATCTGCATCTGCATCTGCAGCTCGCCGCGTCGTCATTCATCCCACAGGCACTGCTGTTTCTGTCGCACATAATAGGTGAACTGTGTGCACTTGCGGCAGGTCTTGATGCCGCAACGATAATTCGTTTGCTGCTGCTGCTGTTGCGCCTGGGCGCCGGATGTGTCGCTGCCCAGACTCTTGCCCTTGCAGTACTTCAGCCCGCACGGATACCAGCCGATGCAGGTCTCCAGCGTACAGAGGCAGGGCGCCCACAGGCTGCTCACCTCGTTGCAGCGCGTGGAGAGGGCGTCCGGGAATTTTTCGGTTGCTGCCTCCAGGCTCGAAATCGAGGAGCCTAACGACGAGTCGAAAAACCAAAAATTTTAAACACAAAATAAGCAAAACGAAAACCTGGTTAAAGGCAAAATCAAGTTAAAAAAAGGTTGCTCTAGTCGGCCGTGCCCGACTAGTAGATACCGGGCACTCTGCGCATAGCTGCTGCACAGTAAATTTGAAATCTCTAGCTTTTATGGTCAATTATCTAAAATAAGGAAATGTGATGAGTTATCGAAAGCAAATGATAAACACGTACTGCTTTACGGGAGTATATTTTGTAAATTTCGAGTCGGACACATTAGAACGACTCAGCTCGTCATCCTGATCAAGAATCTTTATATTTTACGGGCTGTGCCACGTTTTCTTCTGTTACATAGCAACATTTTTATGAGATTTGAAGCAACTCGTTACAAGAGCAGCGCGAACTTTAGGTTACCTATGTACAGTAGTCTCATAATAAAGATTCCTTTCTATCAAGCAGCTACAGTTTGAATTTCATAATTAACCCGAAGTAAAGGGAAGTTGATTTCTGTTTCAAAAACCAGTTACATATATCCCACTGTACACTGTACTCCCAAACGCTGTGTTTCACTTGTGCAGAGTTAATCAAAAACTAATTGAAAATGTGCAGGAGCGAAAGATTTGCTTTGCTTTTCGTATTTCTGCTAATCAAATAATAATTATCTCGACTTGCACTCACCTGGCAGTTCCGCCCACGCTTTCAGGTCCACATCTCGCACATAGGTGGCATCGGTGGCCTCGGCGCACAGCGTTTGCAGGTGCCGTGTGATGGGCAGCGAGCGATTCAGCTGGACCCAACTGCTCATCGTGTAGGTCTCGCGACCTTTGTCCTCCTCGGGCGTGCGTATTGTGTGTGGATTTTTCTGACGCAGCTTGGCCATGGCATCTGAGGAGATGAAGTCGCCTTTGTTGAATTTGGTGGCAAAGCACATCACCTGATACTGGCTCTGACCGCGCTCCTCCTCGCCCAGCACCAAAGCCTTGAGGATTTGAACCTCCTGCAAATAGGGAATTTCGTTGTTGTTGTCATTTTGTTGTCCATTTCCATTTCCATTTTCTCTTTTACTTCTGCTACTTACATTACGAAAGTCGATGAGCTGCGTGATGAGAGTGCCGTCTGTCTTCTGAAACTCCAGGGTAATCAAATCCTCGCCAATATTGGACGTAATGCTCTCCTGTATCACTTCACCGCCCTGCAGTGAGAAAAGGCAAAGAAGACTCAGTAAGAGATGCAACAAGTGCGTTGGCAATGTTAACTGGACTCTGGACACGAAACTAGAATATTAATAGCGCGAGGCAGCGAGAGAGAGAGAGAGAGAGAAAGAGAAAAGGGGGAAATCTAAGACGCTGCTACCAGAAAACAAATTAACTACAAGCTAAAGTAGCAACAGCAGCAGCGCCAACAGCATCTAAGGCGCGACTCGTCCCTGAACCAAATTAGAGTCAAGAGAGTTGAGCAGAAAATATAGTGAAAATGCAAAACGAGATGAGGAATTGTTGTGAATGCGACTCTAGAGGCGGCCGCTCGTCACCAAATGTAGTTCAACAACATGACAACTAGAATAAACAACAACAACTACTACAACTACAGCAACAACTACTACAAGTCCTACTACAACTACAATCATACATGAACGAATTGTCCTTAGCGTCGCGCACCCCAACTAAACTTTTATACAAATGGAAAAAGTTGATTGACATTTGCTAAAAATAGACAAATCAGAAAAAAAGAAACAGAAAAACATGGAAATCACATTTTTATAAAAGAATATTAAAATTTAATTAAAAATATATTTAAAAAAGTTCCTAGTAGTCAAAAACGTATAAATAAATTTTTCTAAATTTAGTACATTTCTAACAAAATCTAATTTTATATTTGTTTAAACTCTAGGAATGAATCCCAAAAAAATTTTAATAGAGAAAGTATTTTATTATTTTTAGTTTATATAATATTTTTAAATATGTAATATTATAAATTATATTTATTATTTATTTATTTTTAAATATATAATATTATATATCTAATCATTTATGTAATATTTAAAATATTTTGTATGGCTAAAATATTCATTTAATAATTTCTTCATTTTCATTTGAATAAATTTTTTTTTTAATAATATCTCACTAATATGACAATGACAAAATATTCAAAATTATATTACATTTCTTTACTTCTACAAAGTGCTTTAAAAATCACTGTTTTGCTCAAAGTATTAAAAATTAATTGCTGAAGACAGTTTAGTTGCGAATTATATTACTAATTGCGCAATTAAAGCGTTTTCAGTTCAAAATTTTATAAACATTAAAATATATAATTGGTATATCTTTGTTTTGCATTAAATAATATCCATTTATTTATAAGCTATATATTTATAAAGAGATACTATCTTAGCTTGCAGCTATGTCTGACATTTTTACTACGAAAATAATGCAAATAACATTCAAATTGCGAATGCCGAAAAGTTCAGCTGGGTCTGCACGTGCATACACATGAGTGAGAGATTGTGAGCATGCTTGTGTGTGTATGTAATGTGGTCTGTTTGTGTATGCATTGCCTTTGTGAGTTTGAACAAAGCGAATGTAAACAAAGCTCAAGCTGAGAGCAGTAGCAGTAACAGCGACGTCAGCAGAGACGTCGACAGAGTCGGACATTTTGGGGCCAGGGACAGCAACAACAAAAACACAGCAGCAGCCAGCAATGTTAAAGGATGTCACATATAAACAAAAAAGAAGGCACAAGAGCGCGTTCTCTTTCATACACACACACACATGCACAGTCTTTGTTGAACGCGAGTTTTTGGCAAAGGTAATATAAAATTTATAGAAAAGCTAAAGCAAATGTCAATATTATGATGCCATGTAAGCCACGTGCAAACAGAAATGGCATGAAAATAAACGAAAATTAAAAGTGAAAACTGTCAAAGTGACTTGCACTAATGACTGCTACGGCAAAACGAGGAGAGAAAATAAGTTCAAGGACAGTTGGGCGTATTGAACAAATGGGTGGGACGAGCATCGAATGTAATCAATTAACAGTTTTAATTAGTTCATAAAAAAACCAAAGCGCTCACAACTCGCAGCTGATTAATAACAACAAATGTTTGCCAGCGTGCTCTCTCTCTCTCTCTCTCTGTCCATCTGTCGTTCTCTTGTTTTGACGTGCTCAATTTCGAAATTGAATGTTCGAAAAACAGCAGCAACGCCAGCAGCGCAGTCAGCGCCATTTTTGACATTCACATTGCATTTAAACAAATTAATAGAGATAACAATTGAGAAATTCAAGAGCGTGTCTTACCTGATTCTGCACATTAATCAGCAGTTGGGCGTCACTGTTATTTGGTGTGAGCAACAAATTGCAGAGTATGAACCAAAGGAACCCGCGACTGTGCCTGAAGAAATGATAACAACTGACTGAACGTCTGCCGCAGCGTCGGCGGCCCGTTAGGCGGCAAGTGTTGAGCACGTTTCGATGCACCGTATGCCATTTCGAAGGTTTCACTTGCCGAATTCGTGGCTTTTTCGACACTAAAATCATTTCGACAAACACAAAACACTAAAACACACACCCACACACACTCGATTCACTTTGATTTTTGTTTGCGTTGGAGCAAAATACGCGACGATTTTCTTCTGACGCCGGCGACACACGTCCGCTCACTTCGAAAGTTCGACGCAAAATAACAACAGCTCAGCCGACTATAACATAAGATGAGAGTAGTTCCGAATGTGAGCGAACTAGTTAGCAGTTCTGTTAAAATCGGCGCTTTAACATAGTGAGAGCGTAAATGTTTCAAAATATGCTCTACATAAATGGAATTTTATTGACTTTCAAATATTGTAAGTAAATTTCAGCTATAATGCTATAACTAAACACTGCTCTTTGCGTTTATATATAATTGTCCGCCTCAGCTGTTTCAAATAGAGCATAAAGCGTTGTCTTTACTACTTATCGAGCGACCGCCACAATTTCTCACCGAACAGCTGTTTTCATTGTAATGCACTAAATTAGTCCAAAAACGCGTTTTAAACGCTTGTGACGTGTTGTATTTTGTAAATTATGTTATTTTAACAGAATTTACTTAATTAAATTGTATCTTGTACGTGGGACTTTGGCTTTTTAAACACAAACAACATGTTGACCCTACGAGAGCGGCAAATAAGTACGCAATTTGAGCTGCAGACAGACTAAAAGCGCTCGTTTTCACTTTTCTGCCTTCGTTTTACAGATGCAATTAAGCAAATGCTTAATTTAAATTCGCAGCAGCCGAAAGCTTTGGCCGCGGAGCCCGTGTGGAAGATACTCATCTACGATCGCGTTGGCCAGGACATAATATCTCCAATTATATCCATAAAGGAGCTCCGAGAACTGGGTGTGACTTTGCATGTGTGAGTAAGCGGCATGAAATGGGTCATGGGTCATGGGTCACGGGTCAGGGGTCAGGGATCCTGGGTTCGATGTAGTACAAACCTAATGACGTGTTACATATCTAGACAACTTCACTCGGATCGTGACTCTATACCTGATGTGCCTGCCGTGTACTTTTGCCTGCCCACGGACGAGAATCTCGATCGGATACAGCAGGACTTCTCCAATGGCCTCTACGACATTTATCATCTAAATTTCCTAGCTCCCATCACACGCAGCAAAATCGAGAATCTAGCTGCAGCTGCCCTACACGCCGGCTGCGTGGCCAACATTCATCGAGTCTACGATCAGTATGTAAACTTCATCAGCCTGGAGGATGATTTTTTCATACTGAAGCATCAGCAGAGCGATCAGCTCTCCTACTATGCTATCAACCGTGCCAATACGCGCGATGAGGAGATGGAGGCGTTGATGGATTCAATTGTGGACTCGCTCTTCGCGCTATTCGTCACGCTGGGCAATGTGCCGATCATTCGATGCCCGAGGAACAGCGCTGCAGAAATGGTCGCTCGCAAGCTGGAGAAGAAGCTACGCGAGAATCTTTGGGATGCACGCGCCAACCTCTTTCACATGGATGCCACACAGGCTGGCGGCGGAGTGTTCAGCTTTCAACGTCCTGTGCTGCTGCTGCTCGACAGGAATATGGATCTAGCCACGCCCTTGCATCACACCTGGTCCTACCAGGCACTGGTGCATGATGTGCTTGATCTAGGCTTGAACTTGGTCTATGTGGAGGATGAGGCCACAGCTGCCAGTGCGGGCAAGTAGTCAAGTAATGCCTAGACTTCTTTATTGAATCTTCATTTCTTTTAGGCGCTCGCAAGAAGCCCAAAGCCTGCGACTTGGATCGCAATGATCGCTTTTGGGTCACGCACAAGGGCAGCCCGTTTCCTACTGTTGCAGAGGCCATACAGGAGGAGTTGGAATCCTATCGCAACTCAGAGGAGGAAATCAAACGTCTCAAGACCTCAATGGGCATTGAAGGAGAGTCGGAGATAGCCTTCTCGCTGGTCAATGATACAACTGCTTTACTAACAAGCGCCGTCAATTCGCTGCCACAGCTAATGGAGAAAAAGCGTCTGATCGATATGCACACAAAGATCGCAACAGCTATATTGAATTACATCAAAGCGCGTCGTTTGGACTCCTATTTTGAAATAGAGGAGAAAATCATGTCGAAGCAAACGCTCGACAAGCCGCTGCTTGAGCTGTTGCGCGACGCGGAGTTCGGCCAACCGGAGGATAAGCTGCGATTGTATATCATCTATTACATATGCGGACAACAGCTGCCGGAGTCGGAGTTGGAACGTTTACGCGAAGCACTCCAAGCAGCTGGCTGTGATTTAACTGCCTTGGCGTACGTTCAGCGCTGGAAGTCGATAATGAATCGGTCGCCTAGCATTAGCCAGGTCACTCAATACGAGGGAGGAGGCACACGCACTGTTTCCATGTTCACCAAGCTCGTATCACAGGGCAGCTCCTTTGTCATGGAGGGTGTTAAGAACCTGGTGGTCAAGCGGCATGTAAATATATATATTTGAGAGATGAGACCTAAAGAATTATGAAGCTCACATTGCATTCTATACTTTCTTTGCAGAACTTACCTGTTACCAAGATCACGGAACAGGTGATGGAGTGTCGCAGCAATGCTGAGACAGATGACTATCTCTATTTGGATCCGAAGCTGTTGAAGGGCGGCGATGTGCTGCCCAAGAATCGCGCACCATTCCAGGATGCAGTTGTCTTTATGGTTGGCGGCGGCAATTACATTGAGTATCAGAATCTGGTGGATTTCATCAAGCAGAAGCAAACGTCCAATGTGCATAGACGCATCATCTATGGCGCTTCCACGCTGACCAATGCGAGGCAGTTCCTCAAGGAGCTCTCGGCGCTGGGCAATGAAATACAGACACCTGCAACGAGTTAGGAGCGACTGCTTAGCTTTCACTGCTGCTGAGAGGAAGACAACTACTATCTGTGTGCGTGTGTGTCTGTGTGTGGCTTTTTCTTATATATATATATTTTAAGCATATCCAAAAATAAATGAAATGCAAGGCAAAAAACAAAAAAACAAAAACTCACATTGCATTCTATACTTTCTTTGCAGAACTTACCTGTTACCAAGATCACGGAACAGGTGATGGAGTGTCGCAGCAATGCTGAGACAGATGACTATCTCTATTTGGATCCGAAGCTGTTGAAGGGCGGCGATGTGCTGCCCAAGAATCGCGCACCATTCCAGGATGCAGTTGTCTTTATGGTTGGCGGCGGCAATTACATTGAGTATCAGAATCTGGTGGATTTCATCAAGCAGAAGCAAACGTCCAATGTGCATAGACGCATCATCTATGGCGCTTCCACGCTGACCAATGCGAGGCAGTTCCTCAAGGAGCTCTCGGCGCTGGGCAATGAAATACAGACACCTGCAACGAGTTAGGAGCGACTGCTTAGCTTTCACTGCTGCTGAGAGGAAGACAACTACTATCTGTGTGCGTGTGTGTCTGTGTGTGGCTTTTTCTTATATATATATATTTTAAGCATATCCAAAAATAAATGAAATGCAAGGCAAAAAACAAAAAAACAAAAACAAAGTGAACGTGGGCAATTACTCGAAACTTGACGCGCTATCCCCGAAGGACAACAAGCAAAAACATGCGTAGCACAGCGTGTACAACAAGCTGGACCAGATGCTGGACAGTGCAGAGAGATCAAGAGCCAGAGAGATGGGGAGCACTGCAATTGCATTCTAGGCGCCCATTAACACCAACTTGGCAACGCTTTGATGGACAGCTGACAGACACCAGTCAGCAGTCAGCAGTCAGCGACGGCTGACGACAACAATTATGGGGCGACAACAATGCTATGCGCGGCACTTCGGGGACTGAGCCCTTAGCAATTAACACCACAGCTCGAACTATGAATGGGACAGCTACAGTGGCTCCAAAACTATTTCCAACGGCAGCAACATGTGAAACTTTAGCTAACTATAAGGACAATGAAAGATGAAAAGGGAACTTCACATAGTTAGAATGGATAACTTTTAGGGCGTGGATATATACATAAATATAAATAAATTGTTGTTAATTTTATATTCCTATTAAAAATGTTACTTATTAAATTTTAAATATTTTTGGAAATGTTGAGACATTTATGTTTATATGCTTAGCTGAAGTTTCCATTTTCAATTTAATTTTGAGACGAAAATAAAAATTAACTTATATTAATAAAAATAATATAAAAACCAAACTTTTTTATAATCTAATAATAAAAAATTATTATTAATATGTATAAAATATTGTAATAAATAATAAAATAATATATTGTATTAAAAATATAAAAATGTCTTCAATTTATTTATTACGTTAAATTTAATTATTATTAATATATATTATATATAATATTTACTATATTAATTTTGGAATTTCTATAGAGCTATAAATATATTCCTAATGATATATTAACAACAAATATGTATACAAATTTAGTTCCCTCAAAAACATTTTGTTTTAGTTTTCTATATAAAATATATATAACTTTTAACATACTATAATAAAAATTGTAATATAATTTTATATAATATTTAAATGTTATAAAAAAACAAAAAAGAAATAAATAATACTACAAATTTACTTCTCTCAAAAATGTTCTTATTTTCATTTTAATTTTCTTAACATAATATTTTAAATATAAATAAATAAATACATACATATATTCTCCTTATGTATGTCAATACCAAAGCGAAATCAGATCAAATGTTGGGAGTTAGGGTTGAGTGAGCGTAGCAATTGCATCTTCTACTGTTAATCATATAGAAAGAGTTGCAAAATTTAGGAACTGAGCTGCTGCTGCTGCCTCCTCTTTATCCATAAACAGAGTAAAAAATCATGTAAATATATTTTACTCATATAACAACTTAAAGGCAAATCAGATCAAGTGTATTTAGCCATTTAGCCAATGGCTACATGGCAAGTGCACTTTCTATAGATTCGAAGAGGCAATTACAGCATTTGAGAAATTCTCTACTTTTGTTCTCCAATATAAAGACAAATGATAAACTTAAATATAAACTTAATAAACTTAAGCTTTGGAGCAACGTTCATCAAGAGAATCATCAAAGATCATGTCTCTTGAGCCATACCGATTTCTAAATAACGTTTAGTTTTTTGTGGAGCATGGAATAAATCTAAGCTTATAAATATATCGATTGAGTATATCGATAAATCCTATTTTGATTTGTTCAAATTTATTAAAGTTCCCGTTTCGCGGCAAGTTCCGTGTGTTTTTTAACGGAAGTTGTGTTGCAACAGAGATACCTCTGTGGAGAAACCACGAAGTTTATTTATGACTATTCAAAAATACTAAAAAAGAAGAGAAGTATACCAAGTCCAAGTGATGCTGAAGTCTTCTTCTATTTATAGACCTTATCACATTCTGTTAACCGAGCGAAACGTCAATCAATTAGTTAATTTGAATCTTGTTCAGTAAGTTTGTTTTTTTGCGCCCAAGAATTATTGTTGAGAGCAGAAGAAGAGACGCAGAAGAAGCAGAGAAGAAAATATTGTTGGGAATATAAATATATCAAGCATATTTTTTCAACATTTCAGTTGGCTAATTAACACTTTACGTAAATCAGAATTGATGGCCATGTTGAAAGCGGCCCAAAAACAGATGACGATGATCGCGATGATGATGCTAATGATAATGATGATGATGTTGCCGATGACGATGTGGTTGATGGCGATGATAATTCATGGAGCGCTACGTTTAAATATTGGTTTTGGTTGGGTTGAGTTGAGCCGATCTGGGTTGGGTTGGGTTTTGGGTTACTGTGATTCGGCGGCGGTGGCGGCGGCGGCGGCTACCCGTGGCTACAATTTAAATGTTAACATAAACAAGAGCAATTTAACAAAAGCAACGGCCCCAAATCCCAAACAGAGGAAAAAAAACTGATTTCACGGGTGGTCCAAAAAGATGCGCTCAAACAAATCATAAAATCGTATGAAGCAAAAAAAAAAAAAATACAGAAACTAACAACGCAACATGAAAGAAGAAATGCTACTCGTACCAGCCATGAATCGATTATGTGGCCACTGTATATACCTCTGTGTACGCGTGTGTGTGTGTGTGTAAATATTGTTGAAGCAGCACAGCGCGAAGGTAGCTGAAAAATGGTCAGAGGCAAACGATTCCCACATTCCTGCTGCGAAACATAATGGCCGCCGCTGTCGTCGTCTTCAGCAAGCCACACACACAAATGTGTGTGTGAGTGTGTGTGTGTATATAGTCTTACATATGTACGTACATATATCATAATCTTAACAACTCTTAACAAGGCTGAACAAATTCCAAAATTCGAAGAGCCTCGTCAGCGAGCCCCCAACAACAGCAACAAGAAGAACAAAAAGCACAGCCAGTCAGACGTCCAGCAGAAGAACAGCAAACGCCACAAAGACTACAAAATGAAGTGGATGCACACACACATACATAGAATGTTCACATATACACACATATATGTGTGGCTGGCGTGAGAGGCGTATGAATGGAGTCCAAGTTTGGCTGTGCAGCAGCCAGAAACCTTTTAGCTCTTTGGCTCAAACTTTTGACTTTTGAGTTCGATTTTTGAGTCGTTCGCATATTGTCGAACTGCTCGCACACTGCTTGAACCAATTTATATAGAATTTATATGTATTAAAGAACATATATATGCTTAACATAAAGTATATAATTATATTATTTATTTTAATTTTAAATTAATTTTAATTGTTGCTCATGAGAAAATTTAGAGAATTCGAAAAAGAAATTTGAAACAAATTTGTTATTCATATACTTATATTTATTTTTTATATATATATTTTCAATATATATTATGTCTACTTATTTTATTTAGCATTTGGAGAACTCTAGACTCAAGCGGGGACACACACGGCTAAGTCCACTTGAGTGTTGAGGAAACAGTTGAGTTAACTTTGCCATGTCTAACCCATTCCAACAAGGGACAACATAAATGTATATCTTATATATATTTATATTAGCCACGCCTTACTTCTGCCTCGCACATAAATTAAAACAAGTATTGAAAATTTTAAAAAGTTCTTGTCCAAATTTTAATGTGAAAAATATATAGAAATATAACTTCAATAAAAATATAAAAAATACAAGGCAATTTGCTAAATATAGCAAGAGAAGATATTAAATGAAAATGTTATACACAAATAAAAAAAAAACAATTATTTTATACATTCAGTGCTTTAAAAACTAATATTAAAAGATATTTTTATTTTTTAATAATTTCTTAGGTAATTGCCAAATGTAAAAAATAAAAAAATCAATAAATTCATTTGAATAATTTTAATTAAAAATTTAAAATAATAACCAAAAAGTATAGTGCGCTTTCACAATAAAATATAATACAATTATTAAATATAAAAATTATTTTAAAAATAATATATGTGTTTTAAAACTGAATTGCGAAACAAATATATATTTATAAAGTCATCAAACTAAATTTAAAGACAACTTCTGCACTTCTGCTTAGAGACAATGCATTACTAATCAGTGCTGCTCAAACTGTTTTGACTGTCAAACTGTGCGCTGACACATCTGTGAGCTCTGAATCATTCACATAATATTTGTTGTTGTTGACTCTTGTGTGTTATCCTTGTCAGCATATAGTAGTTAGCTGTTGCTGCTGCTGCTGCTGCTGTTTGGCTTGTTGCCACCTTTGGTGGTCCGCTGTGGCATGTTAATTAATCAACCAAATAATAACAGAGTCATCCAAACGAGCCGAAGCGGACAAGAAAAACTAAAGCAGGCCAAATATTTGCCGGCTGAAGGCTCAAAGAACTGTCAGCAGGAGCTGGAAGAAGCTGCTGCTGCTGCTGCTTGTTTGCCTTTGTTAGCGGCTTGTTAGCAACAACAACAACAGAAACAACAACACTATATATACATATATCTTCTATATATATATAAATTGAAAAGATGATGCTTCATGGCTTTTGGCCATTTCCTGAAATCATAAAAAACCGAAAAAGAAGAAGA